CATGATAGGCCCCTGTGCTTCCAGGCTGGTCACTTGAAGACCCCAGAGAAGCACAGCTAAGCTATGTAAATCGCTTATCTTATTTTCCTTATCTACCCACCAGATGTAAGTCTCTCCAGGGAGAAGAATTTTATCTGTCTTGCTCATGTATCGCCAGCACCTAGGATAGTGCCTGGCACACAGAATTTCCTTAATAATAGTGGTTGGGTGAATGAATACATGAATAAGTGCATCTATGTTTTCACTGGGACTTGGAGCCAACCCAGCCAGCCTATCTATGAGAGTGACTTGGCAACAATAGCCCTGATTGTTGTCAACTTCTACTGTGTCTTAGAATGTGAATGTGGGAAATGACAACATGCCTGATTCCTCCTATTCTTGGCTGGATTTTCTTCTGGATTTTCCAACTGCCTGCTCTCCACCCACGATGCAGAGAAATAAAGAATGGGGTTCATTATGTCTTAACAGGCCTGTCAGCTTAAACTAGACATACATTTCTTGTCCTTTCCTTCACTGAGCTGTTCATCTGGGTGCTTTACTGAATTGTTCCATTTCGGGGAGGGCAGAGGTGATTTTCTGCATGCATGGTCCATGGATTAAGGTACTTTGGGGGCCCTGGAAATCTTTTCTTTTTTCCCTTCCTGCTTTCCTTCCTTCCATTTTTTAAAATTTCTCTCTTAAAAATTCATTCAATAACAATTTATTGAGCCCTAAAAATGGCTGGCATTGTGCTAGGCACTGGGGAGAAATACAAAAATAAATAAAACATACCAATTGCCCTCAAGCAGCACACAGTCTATTAGACAAACAATGACTGCAAGGCAATGTGATCAATTGTGTTGGAGTAGCTTGTGGAGAACGGTATGTTGGCCCAGGAGAAGGAATCAACATCTACTGACAGGAAGAGTCAGAAAAGGCCTCACAAAGGTGTAGTTTTGAAGCATGAGTAGAAATCGAAAACTGAAGAGGGGTGAAGGGTTCTCAGGCAGAGGCGAGAGCATGTGGAAAGGTTCCAAGTAATATTCCACGTAGTGGAAATCAATGAGGTGTGCCTGTTGAGTAGTGGGCACATGGAAACATCAGGCAAGGTGCATGCCTGGTATAAAGATGCTTATTTGCCATGCCTTTGTAAATCTAAGCTTTTGTCTATGGACAGGGGGTATTTATAACATACAGCAAGCAGACATGTTGGAAAAGACAATTTTAGCAGCCGTGCTGAGGGTCGATTATACAAGGAAGGAGTAGAAAGGCCTTTTGCAGTTTTTCGGGAGAGATGGGTTTAACAGATACTTAGGAGGAAGAAGTGACACTTTAACAAAAAACAAAGAGGGCACGGATCAGGGAGTAAGCTGTGAACATGTACTCATCCGTCATCCAAGTGAAGATGCCCAGGAGGGAGGCAGAGCTGTAGATCTGCAGCTCCAGAAAAGGGTGACGTCTGAGGAATGCATCCAGAATCATTCGGGATCCAATGGCATTTAAAGTCAAGAGAGTGGGAAGATCTTCAGGAAAAGTCTTCAGTGTCAGGCCCCCATGTTAACGGTTAAATTGCACGGAGGATGACCATTGGGTGTTAGATGAGTTTCATTTCTTTAAGTCAGGGCTCTGTGGAACCCTAAGAGATGTGTCAAGAAGTCTGGGAACCCCTGGCATTTTAAGCAAAACTTTGTTAAAATGTAGCTTTCTGTGAGGATAGAAACTATAGCTTTTACCAATTTCTCATAGGGGTCTGAGTCACAAAAGGGTTAAAGTCCACCTTGCTTCAATAAATATTTTATATATGCCCATGATACTTAGGACTTGAACTGAATTAAAGAGAGGCTTGGTTCAGGCTGGAAAATAAGTTCTATTCTGTTCAGATCAAATCTCCATAAACGTATAGTTCACATTAAGAGTATGTTTGCTCATATAACGAAAGTGGAGGATTGAAATAATCGTCTACATGGTTTAAAATTATTACCTTTTCTTTCTGAATGAGATATCTATTCCAGGAATTCTTAAATCACCATCCCTTTAGATTATTCTACTCACCACCATGATTACATACCACCTCTGGTTTTGTTTCATATTTTGAACTTGATCCAAATTTCTCACTTGACCATTACAGCACATAGTCAAGTCTGTCTCCTTAATAGCCTTCCCCACGTAAAAGAGCTTTCATTGAAGGTTATACGCTTAATAGAATCTGACTACAGCATAAAATTTGCCAATTCTTTTCTGCATGAAAGGACACTTTGCAGAAAGTGAAAAGACAATGATGAAATGAGAAAAAAATATTTACAAATCACTTACTTATCCAATAAGGACCCAGTAACCCTAATATACAAAGAACCCTAACAACTTAAGAATAAAAAGCCGAATAACCCAATTTACAAATGGGCAAAGGATTTGAATGAACATTTCCCCAAAGAAGATTCACAAATGATCAATAAGGACATGAAAAAAATGGTCAAAATCATTAGTCATTAGAAAAAGAAAATCAAAACTATAATGAGATACCACTTCACACTCAGAGGATGACTAGAATTAAAAGCAAACAAACAGAAAATAACAAGTGTTGGTAAAGATATGGAGAAAGTGGAACCTTCAAACATTACTGATGGAGATGTAAAATGGTGGAGCCATGTGGAAACCAGTTTGGCAGTTCTTCAAAAAGTTAAAGATAGAGTCACCATATGACCCAGAAATTCTACACTTACATATTTACTCAAGAGAACTGAAAACATTTGTTCACAAAAGAAACTTGCACACAAATGGTTATAGTAACATTATTTATAAAAGCCAAAATGTAGAAACAACCCAAGTGCCCATCAACCGATGCAATGTTAAACAAAATGTGGTTTATTCTTATAATAGAATATTACTCAGCTATAAAAAAGAATGAAGTCTGAACAAGGATTAACCTTGAAAGAAACCAGACACAGAAATCCACATATTGTACGACTCCATTTATATGAAAAGTCCACAATAGACTAATCCATAGAAACAGAAAGTAGATTAGAGGCTGCCAGTGGGTGGGGAGAAGGGAATTGGGAGGTCTGAGGTTTCTTTTTGGAATGATGGGAATGGTCTCAAATACATAGTGGTGATAGTTGCACAACATTGTGAATGTACTAAGAGCCCCTGAATTGCACACTTTAAAATAGTTAAAATGGTGATTGATATGTTATGTGAATTTTATCTCAATAAAAACTACCAAAAAAAAAACCCCACACCTGCCAATTGCCTTTAATTCTACTCCAGAAATAAGACAATCATAGAATCTACAAACTTTTTAAAAAGATCTCTTCCATTGTCTTTGCAAAAGTCAAATGTTTTCACATAGGATAAAAATTCCTCATTTTGAGACCAGCAATATTTATTGTAACCCTGTTAAAAACACAAGCACATTGAAAATCTCACTTAGTAAATAACTAAAGAAGTAGGGGAAATAATTAGCATGCTTGCTGAGTACAATTCTACGATTTGGGACAAATAAAATGACAAGGCATTCTATTAAGAGCTCTTGAACTTTATACAGGTGTAAGAATCCACATTGCCAGCTACTGTCCCTGCCTCCGTTTCTTCCAGAAAGTGAAAGCTAAGCTTTGGTCATCGAGGCACTTGAGAATTCTTTTGAATTTCACACATCATTTTGGACTGAAATGATATGTTTCCATTATATACATTTCCATAGTAGTGTGTCCCACTGACTTCCCCGTGCACAATGTTCCTACTTGATCCCCAAGACAAATGTATTTCTATTTGTCTTCATATCATACTGCATAGAGGGGAGGGAGGGGTTTAATTTTTTGAGAGGCTGGTAATAGTGTTAAATAACTAACAAAAAATGTCCAGGTCCCAGTAAGATCGATGACCATGATGTGGTAGGAAAAAGAATTTTTTTCGAAGTAATTCTCTCTGGCCTGTGTGTGCATCCCCTCTCTTCCATTAACTCTTTCATGACTCGGTTCCTACACCATAATTTGTGGGGTCTAGTGTAAAATAAATAGGTGCAGCCCCTTGTTCAAAATTACTAAGAACTTCAGAAAAGCATCGCAAGGCCGCACACTTGCACGCTGTACACCTCGCAAAGCTATGGTTGGGTGGACTCCTGGCTCCACCACCTCCTTCCTGTGGTTAGAGGCAAGTTCCTTAAACTCCCAGAACCTCATTTTCTTCACCTGAAACATGAAGCTAATCATCCCCATCTTGCTCGTCGCTGCCAGGATTATTTTTTAAAGTCTCAAGCTTGAATACTATCACTTAACATGTTTTTAATGTTCCTGTGGGGAAGGGAGCCCTGTGTATTTCGATTGGGCATGAGTGGCAGGAAAGCCATTTGGTGGATTAAATAAGGGTCCTTCAAAGATTAAGGAAGGGGGGCGGAGAGGGGCTGCTCTCCCTCTCAGCTCCGACCTGACACACTTTGCCTGGCTCTGTGTTTTATTAGCTTGCATCCTCGGTACATCAGTGGCAAGGGTGATGAAACCGGTGGCAGATTTAACTGCCAGGCAGCTGGGTCACTGTCCCGTGGGTCTTGTTGTCATGCCGCGATCTTAAAGTGACCACGGCTGTTTGGGCTGCTGCTTTCCAAAAGACTCCGAGTGAGACCACTGAATAGTTAACCGGTGGAAAGGGGAAGAAAGAGGCTGTTGCTTGCAGAAAGCACAGAGACGCTGCTTTGAGAAATCCCAGGGTGGCTGGATATCAAGAACATGGTTCCTGCTGTGGGCAGCTGTGTGTGCGAAGGGCAGCCTGAGGGCTTAAAATCAAATCTCCAGCACGGGTTGGTGCCCGTCCCCTGGGGCTTGGGCACTGGAGGCAGAAGGCCTGAGCACTGTAATATGAAGAAACCCTCACTGCTACCTATTGATGAGGGATCTCACTTACAGTGATCTTTCTCATTGTTAGCAACCGGTGAGTCATGTGTTCTAAGAAAAAAGAGAGGAAAGGAAAGGAAGACGAAGGAGAGAACACAGGATGACTTATTTCCCAGGAAAAATCTGCAGGCCTCTTACCTGGAACCTTCTCATGTCCCTCGGGTTTCCTGCTGTTTTCAAACAATTCTGATTGCACTTGAGGAAAAATTTTAAAAAGAATCTGTGAAAAGAAAGCAATGTGTTACATTTTTAAGTAAACATGTTTGAAGAGAGAATATCCATGCATTCTATTAGATTTGATTTGAAAGTGATTGTATTTCAGGCCTGGGGAATTTCAGCGGCCCTGCCTGGGAAGGAACATTGCTGACCCTCCGCAATTTGCAAATTTGGATGTTTTCCGTGGTAAGTCAGCTCCATCGCTGTGGAGGATTGCAAAGGGGCTCACAAGCGGGGTGCTGGCTTGTGCTCACGCCCCAAGTTGCTGGGCGTTCTCTCAGGAGAAAAAAAAAAGGCTTCCAAAGGGGCAGTGGCTCCTGCGGAGCAGAAACTACTCCCTCCGAGGTTGAACATGGCATGACTTAGCCCAGAGTCCCAGGCCTCCTCCCGAATGTGGCACTTGCTGCTGGCCACACACACCCTCCTACTCACCACCACCCCC